ATGATGGAGATGTCCCATTTGTGGCAGAGCAGTCCACAGATACTTATTCTATATAGTATTCTCATCTTAACCACTGAGCCATCTCTCTAGCCCCTGTGGCCTGGGTTTTATTTCATCCTTTCACAAATTGTAGTTGCTAGAGGGGAGGCTGAATGAAATGGAATTTTTCTCTTCCCAGTTCTGACCAAAGCTACAAACAGAACTGAGACAAGTAAGCGTGAGGAATAGTTTCATAGCCTGGGACGCGATCTGGTTCTGAACAAACCCCCTATGCTAACAATGCAACCTTGATCCTTTATTGCATACACAATGCACAAACATCTTCTCTGCCATCTAGCAGTCTTGGACCCAGACAGGTACATACTTCTCTCTCTGAAAAATAGTATAAAGTTCTCTGACCCTAACAACAATCAAATTTAGACAGTTTCTATTCACTATGTCTCTTATGCATCCTGGTACAGGATAGGGGCATTCTCCAGCTTGAGCTCTTTTGAGATACATGTACGGCACAGCGAATCTGTGGCCTCAGAAAAACTTTCAGAGAGAATTTCCTACTTGCTAACATATGCCAGCGCGTAGTTGGGTGTGCACATGATTGAAATCACAGGCATTATAGGAAGGGATATGTGCAGTTGAAAAAAAAATTCTATGGCCTAACCTGTCAGTCAAGATAGAGAACTGGCCATCCTATACCCCTTAGGTGCCAAACTCCCACCCTTGAATCCTAAAAGGAAGCCTTAAAGAGTAGGCCCCGGGCAGATCTATACCACAGCCTTGCTTTCATCAAACTTGTTTCTTTCACAAATCTGTGGGAGCCCTTATGTGCTGGTTAGTTTCTGCCAATTTGACTCAAACTAGAGTCACCTGGGAAGCAGGAACCTCAGTTGAGGAATTGCTTCCATCAGATTGGCCTGTGAACATGTCTAGAGAGGCATTCTCTACTTTTTATTTAATATTATGTTTAGGTATATGAGTGTTTTGCTTGCATGTACGTATGTAACTATATGTCCCATGTATGTGCTTGGTGCCCATGGCAGGCAGAAGGGGCCATCAGATTCCTTGGAACTGGAGTTATATACAGTTGTGAGCTGTCTTGTGAGTGCTGGAAATGGAACCCAGATCCCATGGAAGAGCAGTATGTACTCTTAACCACTGAGCCATCTCTCAAGCTGGCTTCCTGTGATAATGACAGTAGCTGAGGGTTGGTCTCTTGTGGGTCAGACTCCCCAGCATATAGAGTCTGCCTGCTTAAGGGATTGGTGTATCGGCATCAACAACACACCAATGAAATCAGCCAGCATCATAACACAGTCTCATTTTCCCCAAGGCACTATTGCAAAATGCTTTCTTTTATCTCTCTCTCTCTCTCTCTCTCTCTCTCTCTCTCTCTCTCTTGCATTAAGGCTGATCTCAAGCCTGGTACATAGCTAAAGCTGACATTGGATTTTTGATCCTTTCACCTCTACCTCCCAGATGCTGGAATTACTTACTAGCCTGGCTGATTATTCTTCTCTCTTTTTCTTTCTTTCTTGCACATTTACTTACTTCCTGTGTGTGTGCTGGTTGGAGGACACTTGCATAGCCACCTCACTCCTTCCACCATATGATCTCCAGGAATTGAACTTAGATCTTCAGAATCAGCACAGAGCATCTTTACCCAGCAAGCCACCTCTCCAGCCACTGAATCCTGCCTTCTTACCAATAAATTCCCTGATTGCTGGCATCTCTTGAACAAAAATGGCTGCCCGCTTCATGAAGGCCACAGTCTGGAGTTGATACTTCTTCTTCTTTCAGAGGCCCAAGTTTTTCAAACCTCTACTCTGCTTCTCACATCGAGAACCTGCCTGTTCTCTTTGAGGTGCTCTTCTTGGCTGTGGCAGGTTAACAAACCCACCCTTGTTGGACTCATGGTAAATGTGGTGCTGGGCTTTGCCACCCAGCTCTGCCACCTTTTCCATTAAGTCTCTGGATAAATTTCTCCACCCTCCAATTCAGTTCCATCATACTATATTTAATCATGTTGGAGACATTTCCTCATAAGCAGCTCTGAAGAAACAGAAGAGTCCAGTGGCCAAGGTCCTGGGGCCTGCAAGAGCTGATGACTGGCTTCTCATGCCTCCAGGTCCAATGGCCGTGCACAAGCGCAGCTAAGAGGAGCTGTTGTAATTACTGTTTTGTTTTTGTTTTTGTTTTTGTTTTTGTTTTCTGTGCACATTCTAGCTCCCACTTGATGAGATGAAGACTTGTAACTTTTATTAATAAGCTTCAAGCACCATAACTGGGCAGATATTGATCTCTTCCAACTTGACTATGCTAGCTAAGTCTGGGGGTCCCAGGGAAACAGACAGACAGACTGACAGAGGATAAAGGTCACCTGTCCAGGAGAAGGTCGCCAGGCCATGAGGAGGAGCGGCCAGGGTGAGATTAGATGCGAAGCAGCATTGGGGCACATGGCTGGGAAGTAAGCCAGGCTAGCATAGTTGAGCTAGAATAGATAGATATCTGTCCAGTTATGGTGCTTGAAGCTTATTAATAAATGTAACATTTATTTACATTATGTGGGAGCTAGAGTGGGCATAGAAAAAAAAGCTGTTAATTACAACAAGAAGTTTCTTTGACATGGTCTGGCCAAACCTCCACTGTGAAAGCCACAGAGGTCCCAAATGCTTACAGCCATCTTGGAAGACTTTGTTCCAGCAGTGGCTATATCAGATACCCCACCACTATCCAGAAGGATTTTGCTTTGGCTGTGACCGTTTGGATGTTCTTTTGCTTTTCCAGTGACTCTGCAGCCACTTCACATATTCCCCTAGCAGTCTTTGAGTGATAACCCCCCTCCCACCACATAATGGTATGGACAAGAGGCCCAGTACACTTGTAACTGTGTGTGTGTGTGTATGTATACCCACATGTTGTGCCTATGTAGTGGATATTCCCACTGGGCCTGCTAGGCTCACACCTGTGATACCAACACTTTGGAAGCTGAGGCAGGAGGATCGATTGAGGTTGTGTTGTTCATTTTTTTTCTTGTTGTTTGCTTGCTTGCTTGAGAAAGGGTCTATGTAGCACTGACTGGTCTGGAACTCACTATGTAGACCAGGCTGGCCTCGAACTCAGAGATCTGCCTGCCTCTACCTCCCAGTGCTGAAATTAAAGATATGTGCCACCACACACAGCCTTTGATGTGAGTTTGAGAACAATGTGGTCTGCTTGGTGAATTTCAGTCCACCCAGGGCTATAGAGTGATAACTTGTCTTAAAATACCAAAGTGAGTGAATAAATAAACAAACGCAACATTCCCCTCACCTCCATTGGGTAAATCCAGGGACACCTCTACTCTGTACACTGCAGAATCAATCAAAGTAAAGCCACTTTGGGATGGTTTACTTTGCCTGTTGGTGATTTCTATCTCAGGTAGAGCAGGTTTCTCTCATTAACATTAAGGAGCCGATAAGATCCAGGACAATTAGCCTTGAGTACTTGCCAGCCAGTTTCCAATACCTACAGCAGAAGCTCCTAGAAGGGCCTGTTGGAAAAGTGCAGGAGGCACTCCTGACTCCAGCTCCCAGGAAGACTGCAGAATAAGAATCAAGCTCTGGATGCTGGAAGAGCAGCAGAGAGAGCCGCTCAGAGCTGAGGGCTGCTGCCAAACCCGAGGAAGCTGTACTTTGTTTACTTTTGACTTCTATCTACACTGAGCAAAAGAGGCAAGGCATGGCAGCACATTCACATAGTCCACTTAGGATCAGAGGCAGGAGGATCAGAAATTAATCAGTAAAAGGTCATAGCAAGTTCAATGCTAGCCAGAGCTACTTAAGATCTTGTTTCAAAAAACCCTAACCCTGATACAACCTGCCTACCTGATGTTTCTACCACTGAATTTTATATTAGTTACTTTTCTGTTACTGTGATAAACCATCTCCAGCAAAGCAACTTATAGAAGAAAGAGTTTATTTGGGTTCCAGAGTGATAAATGTCCATCTCTATCCTGGTGGGAGAGACAGTAGCATGCATGGAGGCTGGAACAGGAAGGTGAGCACTCACATCTTGAACTTCAAGCACAAAGCAAAGAGGGCAAACTGGACTTTTTAAACTCTTAAAGCCCTCCTCCAGTACTTCCCTCAACAAGACTGAACCACTGCTCCTAACCTCCCAAAACAGCATTCCCCACTGGAGATCAAATGTTCAAATACACTAGTCTCTGGGCACAAGTTCATCCAAACTGCTACGGATTTGAAGAGAACCTTGACCTATGAATTTCTTTTATCCTGTAACTATAAAAAGTCCATGATTTCTATAATCATATCTGGGGGTGGCATATTCTGGTTTCCTACAGATGTAAGCCTGAAAAAAAAAAATAGTAATTTGACTCTGCAACAGCAGTTTTAGCCAAGATAGCTAGCAATATTTCCCATGTTTATAGATGATAAAGACTTTAGGGTGGGCCAAGTCAGAGCCCTGGATCTAGGCCTGGGTGGTAGCTGAGCTGGTCAGCTCACCAGCTCTCCTTTATCCACAGCACCATGGCAAGTTCCTCAGCTTCTCTGGCTAGGCAACCCAGTGTCGCCATTGGCAAGAGACAGGGTCAGCTCTCCTGCTCCCATGCCCTAGAGGCTGGCTCACCAGCACCCATGCCTCCTGGGCCTGTTCCACTGTGCTGCCCATCTGAGGTACAGGGCCCTCACTTGTGAGTGCTATAGCCAGTGAGGTGGCAGGGCTAGCTCTCCTGCCCTTGTGCCCTCAGGGCCAGCTCTCCCATTACTGCAGGTGGCAAGGAGGGAAGGTGAGCGGTGGGGCCAGCTCTCCTGTGCCAGCTTTCCTGTGGCCCCTCCACAGAACCCTCTCTACTGTGCTGCCCAGGTGAGGTACAGGGCCAGCTCTCCTACCCTCCGGCAAGCAGGTGTCTATGTGCGCTGGAGGGCAGTTCTTGGATGGCATGGCTGCAGGTCTCTGTCTTCTTTCTCCCATGCTACATTGCCTGGATTTGATTTGACTTGATTTTATGAGTCCTAGGCATAAAACAGCTTTGGCCACCAAGCCAGGCATCAAGTTAGGATGAACCAAGGCCTGTCATCTGCTCTGCCCCTGACTGATATAAGAACAATATCACCAACAAAGTGTCTCTTTGCCCACTTCTGGGTGAGTGTTTGTGTTGTGGTGTTTTATGGCAGGAGTAATAACCCTAACTAAGACACATAAAATAATTTAAATTTTTTAATGACTAACAAATAAGGATTTTAAAAATATTTAATGTGTGCACCCATGTATTCACACTTTATGGGTCAAAAAATGACCCGTCCCACAGGTCTGTCAACGGAGATCCTGAGTGAGGGAGTGGGAATGAAAAAAGAGGACAAGGGTGCGAGAAATGAAGACCAAGACAGGATCTCTGATCAAAGTCTCCGTTTATTCAAGTTTTCCATACAACTATATAGGCAGAAGCGGAAGGAATGTAATTGCCTTTGGCAGGGTTATTAAGTGACTGGAAATCACAGGATGGCCCACCAAGATGTGCTAATAATGGTAATTTGGAAAGTTCCTCAGAAGAGTTACTTAGGGAGCCCTGAGGGAGAGGAGGATTTAAAGTATTTCAGGAAGATGATCTTATCAAAAGCCCCAGGTCAGCCAGGAATGCACTATTGTATCCGGGCAGTAGTCTGGTCAAGCCAGATGCCAAAATTTAGGGGGCAGCAAGGTGCCAGAAGGCCCCCGACAAAAAACAACTTGAGGGAGTTGGTCCTTTCCTTCCACCACGTGTGTGAGGGATCAAACTCAGGTCAGCAGGCTTGGTGTCCAGCGCCTTTACCCAGTGAGCCAACTTGTTGGCCCCAAACAGGCAGGTTTTGCAATTTAGAGTCAAGGAACAAGCTCTTGCCACCAAAACATTGAAAGATGAGCTTGTGGTCCTTATTTATTTATGACTTTTGTTTTGTTTTTGAGACAGGGTTTCTCACTCTGTAGACCAGGCTGGCCTCGAACTCACAGAGATCTGCCTGCCTCTGCCTCCCCAAGTGCTAGGATTACAGGCATGTGCCAGCACACCCTGCTCTAGTTTCCTTCTGTAGGTGCTTAAGCACAGTACTCTTCTGAACTATAAATATAACAAGCTTAGCTTCCGGTCTCTTGACAACTACATTTCAAAGAGATGAAACCCAGCTGGGCCTAGTGGCACAAAGGCTTGTAATCCAGCTATTTGGATGTGTAGAACCCCTGGAACTGGAGTTAAAGATAGTTGTCAGCCACCATGTGGATGCTGGGTAATTAGACCTGAGTCCTCTGTAAGAGTGGCAAGTGCTCTTAACTGCTGAGCCATTTCTACAGCCCCAATAATAATCTCTTAAAAGTAATTTTCATTTTTACAATGAAAATGTGTGTGTATAATTTGTAGGCATGCACAGCCCACAGGTGGAGATGAGCAAGCAACTTGCTGGAGTTGGTTTTCCTTCCACCAGATGGTTTCTGGAGTGCTAACTCAGGCTCAGTAGCAAGGGCCTTCAGCTGCAGATCCACATTCCTGAGCCAAAATCAAAGTTTCAACTCCTTTTCAGTTGTGAGCTGTGTTTGTGTCACCAGTAACTTCGTGAGAACCAAGTTGCCTCACTTCCAAAACAGAAAAAGAAAAAAAAAAAAAAAGGAATTCAAGAAAGGGCTGAGGATGTAACAGCTCTTGCAAGTGTGAGGCCCCTGTGTGTGTTGGGGATTGGTCTCTTAGGAGACTTATGACGTGAGTGTGGCCATAAGCTTTTGTAATCATTACAAAAGATTCTTGCGGTGCTTGTTTCTGCAGCAAAACACTAGCAAATTCATGAAGCAGTCCATGCTTGAGGAAAAAAATAAAAAAAAGCAGGCACATGTTTAAAAAGGAAAGAAAATGAAAATTCTGGAAGATGGGTTGACCGAGGTTTTTCTTTCCCTGTGTTTGTCGGTCCACGTGCAATCACTTTCCCAAGCGTTGGTCCATCCCAGGAGCCCCCACTCACGTGTTGCCCAGCGGATCCCACGGCTGTCGGGATCCGTCCCGTTCCAGCCCTTAGCTATGGCGCCCGGATGGCTAAAAGGACAAGATATGGAAGGCGGGATCCATCCAGGCCTAAGGCTACCCAAGGTCCCGGGCCACCGCCAGGGCGGGCCCAGCGCGAACAGCCCGCGCTCGAGGCCACGCCCTGGGCCCGTCGACGTCACCGTCCTGGAGCCCAGGCACGCAACTCAGAGGCGGGGCTGCGCGATGACGCCAGCGAGGGCGCGGCTCGCGGCTGCGGCCGTGTGCGTCTGCGTGCGCAGCTGGCAGCCATGGGTGGGGGATCCTCCGGCGTGTGTGCTGCGGC